CTCTCCCCCTCCCAATCCTCCCCCTGTCTCTCTCTCTCTTCCTTTCCTCTTTCCCTTCCCCCTCTTTCAGCCTCTCGCCATTCACCCATCCCTTCCCCTCCTCTTCCTCCTGCCTCTCTCCCTCTATTTTCCTCTCTCACTCTCTGCTTTCACCCTTCCCCTCCCTTTCTTTCCCCTTTTCTCCTCTCTCGCTCTTCTTTCCACCCTTCCTTCCCTCCTCCCTAGCTTTCGATCTTCCTCTTAGCCCTTCTCTGTTCCCCTTCTTCTCTATCTTTTCCTCCTCCCTCTCCCTCTGTCGCTCTGCTTCTACTTTCCCTTTTCTTTCCCTCTCGTCTCCCCCTCTCCTTCCTCTCTTTCTCTAGCTCGTTCCCCTTTCCCTCCTCTCTCTTTCTCTAACCGTGTCCCCTTTCCCTTCCTCTCTTTCTACCGTTCCCCCTTCCCCCCCTTTCCCCCGCGCCTTTAACCCGCCGTGTCCCGCAGATCACGTACGAGACGACGGGCGTGGTCCAGATGAACTTCCTGCGCCTCCTGTCCTCCTACGCCTACCAGAACTTCACGTACTCCTGCCTCCAGTCCAAAGCTTGGTTTGACCAGGAGAACCTCAACCACAATAAAGCCATCAAGCTCATGGGACAAGATGAACAGATATTTTCCATCGATACACTTCAGCCGAATGTTCTCACGGATGGGTGTGCTGTGAGTGGCCGGCGGCGCTTCGTTCAAAGGGATAAGATAAGAATAATGATAAGATGAGATTAATGATGATTTACTATTGAAAATGATAATTATAGCGTCTTTAGTTCAAGGTATTAGCAGTATTAATCAGTGAATTGATATATGATTTATTGAAGATGAGGTAAATAATCACAGAAAGCAATTATGATATTTTTTTGACAGTGTGGCTATATTACTGATAATAAAACAGACAGAAATAATTGTGTAGTAAACGATAACATGAAGCTACTATTATCACTGACCAAAATCTGACCACATCTCACACTAACCCCCCCCCCCTTCTTCCAGGCCTCGAAAGGCGTCTCGCAGGACAAGTCCCGGACCGTCTTCGAGGTGCGCACGGAGACCCTCTCCCATCTTCCCCTCGTCGACTTCCAGCCCACGGACTACGGCCTGCCCAACCAGGCGTTTGGGTTCGAGGCAGGGCCCGTCTGCTTCAAGTAGGAGCTTCGAACTCTCGTGCTTCACCTCGGCGCGCTTCGGGTCTTCGCTCCCGCCTCTGTCATCGATGGACGCGTCCTGCGACCCCCGCTCGACCTCCTCCGCCTCGTGCCTCGGGGACCCACGTCGCCGGGCCGCAGGGCTCAGGAGGCGGAAGGGTCCAGGACATCCTGAAGGAAGGCCTGAAGGATCCGAAGAAGGACCCGAAGGACTTGGAGGCCCTGAAGACCAAAAGGAAGGTNATGACTTTGGTCTACTCATTTCATTTTCATTCCTACTTTTAGGGTTCCTTCATTTAATTTCTCAAACATTTCATGCGGTTCCTGGGATGTTTTTGCTAGGATGACAATGTCATCTGCAAACCTTAGATGGTTTAAGTAACTTCCATTTATATTTATATCTTGTTTACCACAATCCAACCCTCTAAAGATGTTATCAAGAGCTGCTGTAAAAAGTTTAGGGGATATGGTATCCCTGTCAAACACCTCATTTTATGAATACTGGTTGGCTCATTTCATGGAGTTTAATTGTTGCTGATGCATTGTCATACATATTCTGCAGGAGTTGTATGTAGGTTAATTTTGATCCTTTAGTGCTTTTAGTACAGCTAAGATTTCAATTGAGTCGAAGGCTTTTTCATAGTCAATAAAGGCCATTGACACAGGGAGTCTATATTTTATTGATTTTTCCAATACTTGATTTATGGTATGGATATGGTCTATGGTTGAAAAGCCTCTGCGAAAACCTGCCATTTCATCTGGCTGATTGGAGTCCAGTATGTTGGTTATTCTGTTATGATTTTTGTAACTATTTTATATAGAACGGATAATGAGCTTATTGGTCTATTGTTCTTCAAGTCCTTTGCATATCCCTTTTTAGAGAGTATTGTACCTTTTTTTCGGTATTCTTTTTATCTAGTAGTAGTATAATTTGGCTAATGCTTGATCTATTTCCTCTGCTCCTTCTTTCAACATGTCTAATGTAATTTTTTCCTCTCCTGGTGCTCTCCCTGGTTTCATGGTCTTTATTACATGTCTTACTTCAGGTGATAGTATGGGTGGCTCTGTTTGTTCCCCTTGGCCTATTCCTATTGGTTCCAGATTTACTCAGCTGTCGTAGAGTTCCTGATAAAACTCCTGCACTCTTTCCACTAACCTTCGTCGATTTGAAAAAATCGCTCCACTTCATTCCATTAATTATATTTGGTTTCTGTGGATTGTTTGACTTTGTTTTACTTTTTAAGGCTTTTCCTTTCCCCAAGGTTTTTCTACGGTCACTACACTGTTTGCGTTTATCTCTTCATCTTTGTTTATTTCATTTTGCAAGTCTTTACAGATTTTCTTATCTTCCTCATTTCGTATAGATATTTCTTTTCTACGTTTTATTAGTCCTTTTGTTTTGTTACTAACTTCAACTCTTGATTGACCTCCTTGACCTCCTCCAGCATTTTCTGCTTCTTGTGCAACTATATTTGTTAAGTTTTCATATCTTCTAAATCATGAAATTCTAGTACAGAGAATTGATTTTTAAGTTGCAATTGAAACTTTTCTTTGTTTTGTTTTAAGTTGTAATTTATATTTTTGTTCATCGACCTAATCATCTTTCTTTCTAATTTGGTATCTAGTTCTACCCTGCCTCTTAGACGGTGGTCATTGCCCACATATATTTTATTCATGGTGGTGTTCTTTATGATGTTTAGCTTATCAGTTATAATGAAGTCAATTTCGTTTTTAGTTCTTCCATCTGGGCTTCCCCACGTCCATCTCCTTCCATCTCTCTTCTTAAAGAAGGCGTTGGCAATTTCCAAACTGTTGTTTATGGTGAAATTTCTTAATCCATATCCATATGGACCTAAGGGTGTTTCTAGTCCATCCCTCTTTTTGCCTTACCTAAACTCATAAAACCCATCGATCATTGGTATGGAAGTCTTGCTGCCACCACCTGGTTAGTTCGTCCAGGAACGTTAGTTTGTGTTTGGAAAGTTAGAGGCGTCTAGAAGAGGGTAAATGAAACTGGATAGCAAGTGTGTAAGTGTAAAGAAATGACCGAACCAAGTTTCCAAGGTTAACACTGAAGTAGCGTGGTTTTTAATGTCCGAGGTGGAGTGCGCGTCGGCCCTGAGCCGATGGAAGATATAGATTTACGGGTTTTGAATATGCAAAGTAAAATCTAGAATTATAATTAAAAGAAATCAGACACTCGACGTCTTTTAACTTGCAAGGTTTTGAATCTTCCACATCTCATCTCCATAGCTCATTTATGCTACCATCATGGGAATTGACATACCATGGAAAATAACGTCTGCCTTCATCTCAAATCTCATCTTATTTATCATCTCATTTATCTTTATTCAAATTATTATTTTAAATGAACTGAAATCTTTAGGTTTTAAATATAACTTTTAGAGTATACTTGAGGGAGCACATATAGGGATACCTTAAACATTAAATTTGAAGTTACATTTATTACATATTACCACAGAACAAAAACGATAAAAGCTCACTTAAAGAAACGACAAGCGAACATGAAATAAAACAATAAATAAAACAAAACCAGTAAAATAACACTTGAAAACGAAACAATAAAAAGGAGCACATCGCCTTAATTAAGAAATGAAAATTTACAGAGATATTCCGTCTTACCGCCTTCAGCAAAACGCCCTTACAACCTAAACCACAAGAAAATACAAAAGAAAAATCTCCCTACATCCAACTGCCGGGTCACACGGCTGGGAGATGCTCTGCCTTGACCTGGCTTCCTGGGCTATATTTATTACCACCCTCCGCAACGAATATACAAAACGAAGGGACTCTGGGGTCAAAAAAGGTCAGAAGGACACCTTTCTCAATAGAGGGCGGTACCTCCTTCCTTCCCATTAAGTTAGTTTTACTTAAAAGATACCTGTAAAAAACCCTTCAAACAATTTAAAAAGGACGGAGTAGCTTTAAGACTAATATATTAGTAACACGAGAGGAAGGATACTGCCTTCCGAGGGACGGAATGTGCTCATTCTTATGAACACTAAAAAGAAAACGAGTAAAATTTATATAAAAAATATTTTAATTAAGAATCAATAAATCATAAAAGTAACATCAGCCAACACAAATAAAAATAATCTATTCCCGGCCTCCAGACACCTCACCGCGACCGGGACACCGAAATATATCGCGTGACCAGGGGTGACTGTTATTTCCGCCGGGTACTTTTTCCGTGGTGGGGCCGCTTCGACTTGTCCATCACTACGCTATAAATAATTTGGTAATACTTCTTGTTTTTTCATTTCTGATCACTTTATGCTGGCCATTTTGTCTACTTATTCTCGGTAGCATGCAGCCCGGAGTGGCGTGAAGCTGCACGGTTGGGCTTATTGTCGCTGACACAACAGGAACTGTCGATATCTCTTGATGTGACACTTCCGTAAGTGGGGAGTAGAACGAAAAAAAAGAAAAAAAACTTCCCTGGGGTGTTCCATGCTCTTCTGGGGGGAAGGTGAAGTGAAGAATAAGTCAAAGGGATTGGATAGCAAGAATGAAGAAAGCAAACGAATAAAGGGATAGTAGAACAGCTGTGGTCACAGCTCAGGGCTGCAGGGATGCTGCAAAGATCCTTTGATAATGCCTACATGGCACCACAAGGTATAATGACAGCATTATCCTCTACGATCGGAGAGGTTATAATGTTCATGATAAAAATGCGGTATTGCATTATTCCATCTTTCATAGAATGCACCTCAGGTTATCTGATTTGTGATTTGTCCTGCTCTGTCCATAAATACCGAGTGCCCACGGGGAGTGAGTGTGAAACTTCGCTATCCTTACTCATGTATGAGTAGGTAGGTAATGTCTATGGATGCTAGTAAGCGCCTAGTTGCTCACTCCTTTTAGTGGGTCGTTGTACGAGTGGTAGAGCGGCCTTCTTGCATTCACGTGCATTGGCGGCGAGGGATCGAATCCCGATCGGAGAGGTTATAATGTTCATGATAAAAATGCGGTATTGCATTATTCCATCTTTCATAGAATGCACCTCAGGTTATCTGATTTGTGATTTGTCCTGCTCTGTCCATAAATACCGAGTGCGAGTGCCCACGGGGAGTGAGTGTGAAACTTCGCTATCCTTACTCATGTATGAGTAGGTAGGTAATGTCTATGGATGCTAGTAAGCGCCTAGTTGCTCACTCCTTTTAGTGGGTCGTTGTACGAGTGGTAGAGCGGCCGTCTTGCATTCACGTGCATTGGCGGCGAGGGATCGAATCCCGATCGGAGAGGTTATAATGTTCATATATATATATATATATATATATATATATATATATATATATATATATATATATATATATATATATTAACAAGTAATGGACAATATGGCTCTTATTATCAGCTACTTAGGTTTCCTAAGGATCATTGTTACAACACTATAATCAATAATCTTAAGGCTAATAACCAAGAAGCCTAATGACTACTCCTGGCAACTCACCCAAGGTTCAAAAGTTTTTTCCTCTGAATTCTAATTGTTCTTTTACTAGTTTGAATCGAGCCTATTGTCTCGAAAGATATATGTTGGTGTTAAAGTGGCCATTGCACACAAAATGGATTAAAGCCAATCCAAAGGCAGTTTTTGCCTTATCTGGCAGCCGATTGTTTACCCTATTGATATCCTCTCGCGCCTAAAGGAATTATATATATATATATATATTATATATATATATATATATATATATATTATATATATATATGTATGTATGTATGTATGTATATATATATACATATATATAAACATATATGTACATATATATTTGCAGATATTTTACTGTGGTATTTGAATGTTACCCTTTGTTGTATCCAGTAATTCTGAACTGAATCCTACACATCCTTGTTGTATTCTATATGGAAAGAGACGTGTTTTTCTTCTGAAACTCTCGTTTCAAGCATGAAGAAAATCTTAAAATCATGAATTTCTACTGTATGGGATATTTGTTCGTTATGCTTGCTATATGCCATCCCTTGCATATGGAGTTCTTGAATCTGAGTAAATGTTCTTTGAAACAGGACTTAATCACTATTCTTTATTTTCCTAACTAACTGAAGGGCACATTCATACTACAGGTACAAGAATATCTAGGCCTTGTTTCAGCTCAAGGCGTTGAATGTCGTAAAGTTTGTATTATTTAAAAACAACGATTTTTTTCCTTTTTTTTCACGGAATTAGGTATTTTCTTTTTTCAAGATGGC